GTTTAAACGTTGAATTTTTAAAGCCTGTACGGTAGCATTTAAAAGCGTAGTGGTTACACACAGTTTTATTATATATTATATATATATATTAGTTCACTCTTATATTTATATGAACCAAGAAATGATATGTATGCAAATAATTATACATTTATGCCAGACATCCATACAGTTCTAGCGTTATGTAAGTATAACTTTTATGACAAAGTTATAAATATTGTAATCAGTATAGGTAACATTTATTTAAATCTGGTCACCCTTACACAAACCTTATTAATTATAACACAAATTAGAATAGTAAATAAAGAAAAAAATTTTGGAAAGTGAAAAGTATTTCATAGAAGTAAAAAAAACAATATAAATAACCGAAAGGCCTGATATATTTTGAAATGTTAATACATACTATACATATATATACACATGTACTGTTGGGACTATGGCATTTTTGAATTTACATATTATGGATTACACGAGTTAGCAATTCTGAAACAAATAAAAACAAAATTTGAAAAATATAGTGTGCAATAAACGAGAATACCGTTTTTATGGCTATATTAGGAATATACCTAGTAGATTGATAGAATTGAATGACATTGGAAATAATATGAGACATAAATTATGTCATACAATAGTTTATAATATTGATATATTTATGTTTGTATTACATTTTTGGTTACAACAATGTTAGGATTTTATGAAATTTTAAAATATACATATAATTGTAGTATAGTAACTTATATTAAATATTTATTTTTGTAATAGTCGTAACTGATATTTTTTATAAGATAAATTCGTACCATTATAAAAAAATAAAATTAATATATTTATATTTTTATTTATATGAATTTTAATTAGATATTTTTATAATTTATCATGTAAATCTAAAATACACTTCGATATTTTAACATTCTTTTTTATGGTGTTAAATATATACATATGAAAATTTACAAAAACTTTTTTACGTAAAACTATTTTTTTATTAAAAAAATATACATTATAACTACAGATATAAAAGATGTATAATTTAATTTTATGTATGTTTACTAAACTTAAATTTAAATCGTTTGTGTATGTATTATGTATTCGATATTATCCAATCCCGATACTTTTTCTTAATTAATTATTTAATTATAGTAATTTAATAATCCTGTTTTTTGAAATCAATTATTTAAAGTCACTGAAAATATAACTATGAAATATTCGAAAGAAATAAGTATTGATATAATTCAATTCAAAATTCATCTTTAAAACTTGACAAAAATGAAAGAAAGAATATATATTATAATTTTCATAGGTAAAATAAAATAAAATCATAGGGAATTTAATTGATTAAAACTTAAAATTAAGAAAAATTATATTAGTTTTACGGTATTAAATTGTAAATTCTACAATTTAACATCGATTGAAATTATTATCATGGAAAATTCGAAAAAATAAATATATTCAAATTAATATTCAAATTATATAACTAAAATTGTTAGAAAGTGTGAAATAAATTTATATTTGTACTTACTGTCAGTGGGCTCATTTTTGGTGCAGCTTTGGCGACGGTCTTGATGACCTTGGCAGATTTGACTTGTCCGACGACAACGATGTTCATGGATATTTTTTCTGCGCCCATTTTTGGTTTTTTGTTGGTTTTTTAGAAAGCGAGGTGTAGACTAAAAGTGAAGAAATAAAATATAACATTATTCAATATGAAAAATTCTTACCGAAAATTGGTAGTTGATTTTTTCATACTCACCAAAGTAATGATTTACAAAAAAATGTGTTATGCCGGAATTAGGATCTCGGGTACCTTTATATAAGAACAAGGTTACCGCGAAACGTGAGGCGACATGGTGTGATTATAGTACGTCAGTGTTTGCTTATTCATACATTTATTAATACGATACGTTAATTAGTTTGTTTATGTTTAAGAAATTTGTATGAATTTATCTCATATTTTAATCATGTACAGAGTTAAATTAATCTTTTTTGATGATTTATTTTTTTTATTAAAAATATGCAGGTATTACATTAAAAATAGTGCAATTTTCAAGATCATGTTAACTATAGGTACCTACATATATACAAAACTTACTTATATTGTACCTTTTGATTTTCATGTATTCTTTGATTGTTCCAACATATATTAGTTCAAAATAATGCCCTTGCATAAACACTCATATACTATTGTCTGATTATAAATTTGACGAATTAAAATTTGTA